CTCCATTTTGGGGGGCTGTACGTTCCTAAAGATCAATAAAGTGAGGGGAGAGAGCTCCACCATGGGGGCTTTACGTTCCTAGAGATCACTGGAGTGAGGGGAGAGCTCCATTTTGGGGGGCTGTATGTTCCTAAAGATCATTAAAGTGAGGGGAGAGCTCCATTCTGGGGGTTGTACATTCCTAAAGATCATTAAAGTGAGGGGAGAGCTCCATCCTGGGGGCTGTGCGTTCTTAAAGATCATTAATGTGAGGGGAGAGCTCCATCCTGGGGGCTGTGCGTTCTTACAGATCATTAATGTGAGGGGAGAGCTCCATCCTGGGGGCCGTGCATTCCTATAGATCATTAAAGTGAGGGGAGAGCTCCATCCTGGGGGCTGTGCGTTCTTACAGATCATTAATGTGAGGGGAGAGCTCCATCTTGGGGGCTGTGCGTTCTTACAGATCATTAATGTGAGGGGAGAGCTCCATCCTGGGGGCTGTGCGTTCTTACAGATCATTAATGTGAGGGGAGAGCTCCATCCTGGGGGCCGTGCATTCCTAAAGATCATTAAAGTGAGGGGAGAGCTCCATCCTGGGGGGCTGTGCGTTCTTACAGATCATTAATGTGAGGGGAGAGCTCCATCTTGGGGGCTGTGCGTTTCTTACAGATCATTAATGTGAGGGGAGAGCTCCATCCTGGGGGGCTGTGTGTTCTTACAGATCACTAATGTGAGGGGAGAGCTCCATTCTGGGGGGCTGTGCATTCCTAAAGATCATTAATGTGAGGGGGAGAGCTCCATCCTGGGGGCTGTGCGTTCTTAAAGATCATTAATGTGAGGGGAGAGCTCCATCTTGGGGGCTGTGCGTTCCTAGAGATTATTAATGTGAGGGGCAGGGGCGGACTGACAACTCATGGAGCCCCTGGGCAATCTGGGGGCCCCTGTGTCCTTGCCCATCTCAAAAAAGCCTATGAAAAAGGTACCTCTCAAAGGGCCCCCTACTGACCCCAGGGACCCTCGGGCAGTGCCCGAGTTTCCAAATCAGTCCTCCCCTGGTGAGGGGAGAGATCCATAATCCAAGAGATCATTAATGTGAGGGGAGAGCTCCATCTGGGGGCTGTACGTTCCTACAGATTTAATGTGAGGGGAGAGCTCCATCCTGGGGGCTGTGCGTTCCTAAGATCATTAATGTGAGGGGAGAGCTCCATCCTGGGGGCTGTGCGTTCCTTACAGATCATTAATGTGAGGGGAGAGCTCCATCCTGGGGGCCGTGCATTCCTACAGATCATTAATGTGAGGGGAGAGCTCCATCCTGGGGGCTGTGCGTTCCTACAGATCATTAATGTGAGGGGAGAGCTCCATCCTGGGGGCCGTGCGTTCTTACAGATCATTAATGTGAGGGGAGAGCTCCATCCTGGGGGCTGCGTGTTCCTAGAGATCATTAATGTGAGGGGAGAGCTCCATCCTGGGGGCTGTGCGTTCCAAGAGATCATTAATGTGAGGGGAGAGCTCCATCCTGGTGGCTGTGCGTTCCTACAGATCATTAATGTGAGAGGAAAGCTCCATCCTGGGGGCTGTGCGTTCCTACAGATCATTAATGTGAGGGGAGAGCTCCATTCTGGGGGCTGTCATTCCTTACAGATCATTAATGTGAGGGGAGAGCTCCATCCTGGGGGCTGCGTGTTCCTAGAGATCATTAATGTGAGGGGAGAGCTCCATCCTGGGGGCTGTGCGTTCCAAGAGATCATTAATGTTGAGGGGAGAGTTCCATCCTGGGGGCGTGCATTCCACAGATCATTAATGTGAGGGGAGAGCTCCATCCTGGGGGGCTGTGCGTTCCTACAGATCATTAATGTGAGGGGAGAAGCTCCATTCTGGGGGCTGTGCGTTCCTACAGATCATTAATGTGAGGGGAGAGCTCCATCCTGGGGGCCGTGCGTTCCTACAGATCATTAATGTGAGGGGAGAGCTCCATCCTGGGGGCTGTGCGTTCTATAGATCATTAATGTGAGGGGAGAGCTCCATCCTGGGGGCTGCGTGTTCCTAGAGATCATTAATGTGAGGGGAGAGCTCCATCCTGGGGGCTGTGCGTTCCAAGAGATCATTAATGTGAGGGGAGAGTGGCTCCCATCCTGGGGGCTCCATCCTGTGTGCGTTCCTACAGATCATTAATGTGAGGGGAGAGCTCCATTCCTGGGGGGGAGAGCTCCATGTGCGTTCCTACAGATCATTAATGTGAGGGGAGAGAGGGGGCTGTGCATCCAAGAGATCATGGGGGAGAGTGTGGGGGCGTTCCTACAGATCATTAATGTGAGGGGAGAGCTCCATCCTGGGGGGCTGTGCGTTCCTACAGATCATTAATGTGAGGGGAGAGCTCCATTCTGGGGGCTGTGCGTTCCTACAGATCATTAATGTGGGAGGGGAGAGCGTCTTACAGATCATTAATGGGGGGAGAGCTCCATCCTGGGGGCTGCGCGTTCCTAGACATCATTAATGTGAGGGAGAGCTCCATTCTGGGGGCTGTCATTCCTACAGATCATTAATGTGAGGGGAGAGCTCCATCCTGGGGGATGCGTGTTCCTAGAGATCATTAATGTGAGGGAGAGAGCTCCATCCTGGGGGCTGTGCGTTCCTAGAGATCATTAATGTGAGGGGAGAGCTCCATCCTGGGGGCCGTGCATTCCTACAGATCACTGGTGTGAGGGGAGAGCTCCATCCTGGGGGTCGTGCACTCCTATAGATCATTATTGTGAGGGGAGAGCTCCATCCTGGGGGCTGTGCATTCCTACAGATCACCGGTGTGAGGGGAGAGCACCATCCTGGGGGGCTGTGCGTCCATAGAGATGACCGGTGTGAGGAGAGAGCTACATACTGGGAGCTGTGCATCCATAGAGATGACCGGTGTGAGGATAGCGCCATCCTGAGGGCTGTGCCTCCATATAGATCACTGGTGTGAGGGGAGAGCTCCATCCTGGGGGCTGTGTGTCCATAGAGATGACCGGTGTGAGGAGAGAGCTACATACTGGGAGCTGTGCATCCATAGAGATGACCGGTGTGAGGAGAGCGCCATCCTGAGGGCTGTGCTTCCATATAGATCACTGGTGTGAGGGGAGAGCTCCATCCTGGGGGCTGTGTGTCCATAGAGATGACCGGTGTGAGGAGAGAGCTACATACTGGGAGCTGTGCATCCATAGAGATGACTAGTGTGAGGAGAGCGCCATCCTGAGGGCTGTGCGTCCTTATAGATCACTGGTGTGAGGGGAGAGCTCCATCCTGGGGGCTGTGTGTCCATAGAGATGACCGGTGTGAGGAGAAGAGTAGGCTGGGCTCTAACTTCACCACACCAGAGATCAGCCTGTCCAGAACTCTGTCAGCTATCAGAACCAAGAGTTAAAGCACCATTTTTGACAGAAAATTAAACCTTTCAATAAAGCAGAAAGAAAACTCCTCCTACAAGCTTTAACCAGTGCTCGGCTGGACACTGATAGAAGTCACACAACTGCTCTAACTGCTGATGAGAAAAAGTATTTAGCAGCTTATATTTACTATAAAAATTGCACTTCCATGTTGTGTGTACTGTGGGAGACCTGATATAGTGAATGCAGGCTCCTGGGTTTAGTAACAGTTTAATGGTCAACATTTTTTAGAAATGGTTTTTAATTCACCGCTTGTTGTCAGCTTGTACGCATATACTGTATGTGGCCTCTTGGTGGGTGGACTTTAATGCCGAGCGGCTGCATACATGTAAACAGATTACTGGCAGGTACTGGAAAGCTCCTAATGCATACTTACAATTGGGAGCTCTCTGATCATGTGAACGCTTTGACAGTCAATCACAGCAGTCACATGATCGGAATGCCCATCTCCGTGGTGGTGACGGGAAGGGGTTAAGGAGTAACCACACAACAACAAAATATAACCAACTGAAATTCTTTGGGTAGCCTTAGGCCTCATCCACAGGAGGCATAGACATGCATCTGCCATGCAGGGCTGTCTTTTACTGGCATGGGGATGCACAGCTCAGGTAACCCTGAGCCTGCCTAGGATACTCCTGGGCATTCTGAGGTTGTAGGCTTTGGGGGCTTTTCTGTTAAAAAGGCTAGTTAATTTGCCCACTGCTACTCTGATAGCTTCTTACATTTTGCAACTTGCTCAGAGTTGCCAAGGAAGGCTTCGACATCGTTTCCACATATTCATTCTTTGGGTACCTTAAAATTGGGGGTGTGGTAGGGGGGTGCCAACTTACTTGACACTTAATACTAAAAGGTGTCCCTCTATCTTATCTAAGAAATTTGTAAGATATGACTGAATGCATGTCAGTTCCTGATTAACAGGGTGGCCTCTGATGGGTTTCGGAAAACAAACAGGCAGCCACATGTGCCTTTTTTGTGTTCTGTCAGCACTCGGCCTTTTCACCCTAAAGCAGGCTTCCAGAAAGCAAGAGAAAGAGTCAGGTACCAGATACTATATTAACCACTTAAAGTCTGGACACTTTCACTCCTTCCTGTCCAGGCCAGCTTTCAGCACTATCACACTTTGAATGACAATTGCACGGTCATGCAACACTGTACCCATGTGAATTTGTTTAGCATTTTTTTGTGACAGATAAAGCTTTATTTTCGTGGTATTTATTCACCACTGGGATTTTTATTTTTTTGCTATATAAATGAAAAAGTCCAAAAATTTTGAAAAAAAAAAGTATTTTTCTTATAACATTTTGCAAATAAATAATATTTCATCATAAATCTTGACCAAAATTTATTCAGTTATCTTTTTAGTAAAAAAAAAATTACCCAAATTAGTTTACAACCAAAAATTATAATTTAAAAACTTTTTTTTTCTTTAAATTATAATTTTTTTTCTTTTACATACTGTCACCCGTTGTGACACTGTACTACTTGTGGGGGGTGATGAATATTTTTTTTTTTTTACACTGATTGCTTTTACACTCATAAAGGATGTAAAAGCAATCATTTCTCCTTCTCTCTGGCTGCATTCTTGCAGCCATTGAGAAATACTGTGTGAGCTGTGATTGGTCACAGCTTGTCACATGGTACAAGGCTGTTGTGAATAGCCTTGTACCATGTAACCTCTGTGATCATTCACAGATTTCACACGTAGTAAGCAATGATGTCAGGAAGTGACATCTTGCTTACTACTCTGCATGTGATCACTGATTGGCCAATCAGTGATCACATGATCGGGATCTTGCACAGAGGTCCCATACGATGATTGGTGTTCCACTGCGTCTGGAGGACACAGCAGACACCGGATCACGGTGCTGCATGCTCCCAGTCCAAAATGGCGGGTGCCATTTATAAATGGCAACCCGCCCCTGGACTGCCACCATCCTGCCGTTTATATACAGTGGCCGGATAGCAAACGGTTAAGGCCTGTGCACAAATGAAACAAGTAATGCAATTTGGCTATCAGGTAAGATATGGACCGAAGGATAGGGGCTTTTCCCACACAAAACTCTGGGCTTCAGGACCTAGAACAGGGGTAGAATTGCAGACTAAAGTTAACTAGTTGGTCACGTGATTCGGCTCCCCTGTCAGTCAGCGGCAGTTACTGGGGAGGGGAGAGGACATTGACAACGTATAGGCCATGACATGGGTGATGTCACCACTCCCAGGCATTCCTAGCCATTGGTTACGGATAAGTGCACCTTTTAGACAAAAATAATAAATGCACATTTTTTTGCAGGTAAAAAATATGCATTATTTATTTTTGTCTGCAGAAGCCTGGAAAGCATTGCACCAGCAATCAGCAGATCGTTGATGCCATGGAGGTCTCCTGCAGATCTGTCACAATATCTGATTGAAGTACGGGATGTACTGCCAAGCAGATATTCTGACAGCAAGCTTCAATAAACTACCACGGTGCTCCACAGTGCCATAGTAGTACATTGAAAACTACAAGCCAACAATCGCTAAGGCTGGCAAGACTTGCAGTTCATTCATTCACGGCCATGAATGAAAGAAGCTGCTGTGTCGGCCGAGACCCACATGGCCGCACTGTTTTCAAATTTGAGAGATAGTACGGAAAGAAGTCTACCCATACTATCTGTCAGAGGGAGGGAGGGCGGTGGGGGCAGCAGCTGCAGCTATGGGAACATGTTATATGTTGCACCCTGAAAACGGGTGGAACATGTAACATGTTCCCAAAGGTGAACTTATCCTTTAGAGTGGAGCTCTATCCAAAAGGGGAAGTTCTGCTTTAAGCCTTTGTCTCTCGCTCCCCATTAAATATTGGCACCTTTGGGGAGCGGGTACCCAAATTTGACAGGTACCAGCTCCCATGTCTGCTGCTATTGCCTAAGGCGATCGTAAGCGGAAGTTGTCATCCCCCCTCCCTCCCCGTAGTCTTCTGGAACATGTGACAGGTCCCAGAAGGCTACGGGGCCATTCACAAAGAGCAGCACTTCTCACACATGCGCAGTGGGTACTCGGCTGTGCAGCTGCAAGCTGTCACAGCTGAGTGCCCACACTGAAGATGCCGGCGCCCGGGAGAGAAGATGGCCAGTGAAACCAGCCATGGTGGGGACACCGCTGGACCAAGGGACAGGTAAGTGACTGTATTTTAAAAGTCAGCAGCTACAGTTTTTGTAGCTGCTGACTTTTGTTAATTTATTTTTTTCAGCTGGAACTCCGCTTTAACCACCTTCCTACTGGGCACTTATAACCCCTTCCTGCCCAGGCCAATTTTCAGCTTTCAGCGCTGTCGCACTTTGAATGACAATTGCACGGTCATGCAACACTGTACCCATATCAAATTTTTATAATTTTTTTCACACAAATAGAGCTTTCTTTTGGTGGTATTTAATCACCTCTGGGCGTTTTATTTTTTGTGCTATAAACAAAAAAAAGAGCAAAAAATTTGAAAAAAAAAAAAAGTATTTCTTTGTTTCTATTATAAAATTTTGCAAACAGGTTATTTTTCTTCTTCACTGATGTTTGTTGATGAGGCTGCACTGATGGGCAGTGATGATGCTGCACTGATAGGCAGCACTGATGGACAGTACTGATGGGTGACACTGATGGGCAGCACTGCTGAGCACAGGTGGGTGGCACTGCAGGGCACAGGTGGGTGGCACTGCTGGGCACAGGTGGGCAGCACTGCTGGGCACTGATAAGTGCCCTGATGATCACTGCCGCTGATCACTTCTCTGACAATTGCCGGTTATCGGCAGTACTGTCCTCATGCTGCGACAGTGTGAGGAAAGTGCAGGTAATAACTGGCAACTGTATTTACCCAGTGATCTGCTGTGTAATTAGACACAGCTGGTCACGTGGTAAAAGGCCGCTGTGATTGGCTGTTTACCATATCAAGTGATCAGCTGTGTCTGTAGGAAACAGCGATCACCGGCAGCACCAGGTGCACCCCCCTGATGGCGCACATGAGGCGTGTTCTGGAATGATGTCGTCCCAGAACTAGACAACTGTGCTGTAGCCGTCCTTCAGCTATAGCGCGGTAGGGAAGAGGTTAAGCACTCTCATCTCCCCTACAGCCACCACTGGCTGACACGGGATCATGTGATCACGCTAAAGCAGACTGAAAATAGGTAAGTATATACATCTTTCTTAAAAAATAAGTTCACCTTTTTAGTACAAAAAAAATAATAAATGCACATTTTTTTTGCAGTTTTCTTGAACAATGATTCACTGAATGGATCTACCTACCATACCTTGAGGCCACTTTAGGATTGCAAAAACCATATTTGTTCATAGTCATTCTTTAGAGAAGGATCAGGATGAAATAACTGACCTCTCTTTAATGTTCCTTTCCTTTAAAACATGATTATAGAAAATAGCAGAGTATGTTTCTCAGCCAACAGGGAATAAAAAAAATACTTTGTGAAATAAACATCAGCTGCTAATAAGGCCACCCTTTGAAGATCAGACACTTTTTGATATACTGTAATATCTCTGCAGCATTGTCATGAACTATTCTTTAGTCTTCGTGTTATAAAATTAGAAACACAATGTCTCATTTTATTTCATGGCTTTGTTGAAGTATATTTTGTAGAATTAAGAGTTGCATCAGCTTGTTATGCAATCAAATAGGTCAGTCTTTTTCAACCAGCGTGTCCAGGCAGCCTGGGGTGCCTTCAGGTTTCTTCAGGGGTGCCTTGGCAAAATACCTAAAAATTGGCCAAAAAATGTTATCATATTCATTTTAATACGTATTCATTTGTTTGCTTCTGCCCTTAGCTCAGGCATTAGCTGAGCTGAGAACGCTCCCTCCCCTCCTGAAGATTAGGCAATGACATCATTTGCCTAGGCATGGAAACCAGGAAGTAACTAAAGCAATGTTAAAAACATGTTTAAAACAAGTAAATACAATATACTTTCCTATCTATTTAGTAATGATAGCAGCATAAGGATTACAAATAGTCCATGTTAATTGAAAGAGTGACATTTTACTTTAAGTTGAATTCATTTCCCCATTATATAAATATGAATGGATCCAAATCAATTTGGATAATTTGTTATGTCGTTTATGTTATTTTGGATGCTTCAAACATTAACAAAAGGCTCAGACTATCACATCATGTCATCCAAATGAAACAAACAAAAATGAATTTGTTGGTTACGTTATAGTTTATTTCGGTTTAGTCGAAATTCATTACTATTGTGATTCGGAGATTCAGATGTACCACATAAATTTTGTTTGAAATTTCGATTTGTAACGAAGCAAATTGCACATGTTTAATTCCAATTCACAGCAGATTTTCCTTGCACCTATTCCTCCCCTATCAATACAAATTAAGGCTGGCCATAGATCATTATATTTTTTTTATCAGCCAGCTGACTGATAAAAAAAAAAACCTGATTCTCCCATCTACAAAATCGAGGTGGATGGATGAATCCTCCACTGTCACAATACATCAGTCAGTGCTGCAACCGATCAGCTGCATATGCTGACTGAGCGAAAATTTTCCAGTAGTCCCATTCAAGAGAAGTCAGTCATTAGAGTGGGAACAGCCATGATGGATCAAAATTTGCCTGCTCCAGCTTAACAGTTAGGTTTTATGTTTTCGTTCTTAGAGGCCAAGAGTACAGATCTGATTGTCCTCTGAGGTCTACAGGCAGCTTAAAACCTGTCTTGAAGGGATGCTAAGGATTGCCATTGCTGATCTCTCAACAATGCTGTTTGCCTGGCTATCCTGCTGGTTTAGCACTTTGTGAATCAGATATGCAGCAAACATGCAGATCAGGATTCTAATTTCCCTGGCTGCATGCTTGCTCTAGATCAATGATTTAGAAAGTACAGAGGCTAGAGATATTCAGTCAATTATAATTTTAGACTGGGGTTAGAATGGCGGCACCTGCGTTTCTGTCGCAGCAGGGGTCCTTTCAGCTGATGGAAGAAGATGGCCTAGACAAATATCTTAAACCCTGTTGGTAAGAAAGCCTGACCTTTAGCAAACATTGTCTTGCAAATACGTTTCCACCCAGTAGCTGAATAGATTGCAGCAATAAATAATGGTCCTCCATGTATAAAATGAATGTAGGAATGTACAGCTTCCTCACTGAAATGTGCATACAAATAATTGCACTGTATTAATTTATAGTTATAATTTAAAATTATAATTGGATAATTATAATTATTGTGTGCTTCAGTTTTCTGGGCTATTTTACAGTAATCTTGATATTACATTTTACACATCTGTTTCAGCTGCATTTATTGTGTAGAGCATACATAGTCTGTAAATATGCCATTCTACAGAAAGTAAATTCATCTTATTGCAAAAGTAGACTTACCATAAACCATTAGGACCAGTTCACACCACACCACACGCAGTCCAGTGTGTTATTTTTTTTTCTGCTTCAAAAACGCATTGATAGTAGTTTACATGGTTTCCAGCAGCATAGTTTACACCAGTGCGGTCCGTTCCAGAAAAAAAAGGTAGCATTTTTTCCTGCACTGAACTGTACTGGAATGCCATAAAAATCCATCAAAAACGTACCAGAACAAACATGTCCTTATGTAGGGCCAAGTTCACACCACATGCAGTCCAGTGTGTTTTTTTTTTTTTTTTTCTGCATCAAAAGTGCATTAACAGGGTACATGGTTTCCAATGGGATAGTTCACACCAGTGTGGTCAATTGCAGTACGTACCAGTTCCAGAAAAAAAAGCAGAATATGCTGCATTTTGTCTGCACTAAACTATACTGGAACGCAAAAAAACACACACCAAAAATGTACCAGAATGCACCAAAGTGATCACATTCCATCTGTTCTCAGCTGCATAAGGAGCTTAGAGAGCTGGGGGAGGAGAAACATCAGCACACTGAACTTGCCAATGAATGGCTGTGCAGGGTGGGGGACATGTAAGCACAAGGCTCCATGCACACTGGGCAGTTTAATAATGCTGGCAGCATTAGCTGTATAAAGTCACATTAAAAATGCACACTTTTAAGTGTTTTGTAGAGTGTTTGTATCAGCGTTTTGCCACACTTTGCATTTTTTTTTGCGTTTGCGTTTTTTCACTTTTTTTAACACAAATGCCAGTGTTGTGTTTTACCATGTTTTTCAGTGTTAGAGCGTTTTTACAGCTAAATAAATGCCTCTAGAAACCCACTATTATTATTATACAGGATTTATATAGCACCAACAGTTTGCTCAGCGCTTTACAATATAACGGGAGACAATACCGCAACAATACAGTTCAATACAAGAGGGTTAGGAGGGCCCTGCTCCTTGGAGCTTACAATCTAAGAGACCAGTTCTGTTTTTTTTCCCAGACAAAAAACGCTGATTAAAGTGTATGTGTGCATGGACACATGGGATAACATGCTGGGGAGTTTACTGGCTGTAGACAAAACCCGCCATAAGCCAAAAAGTGCAGCTGTAAAAACATCTAGTGGGCATGAGTGTGCATGCAGTGTGCTTAAGGAGCTTAGAGAGCTGGGGAAGGAGAAACAGCAGGACACTAAACTTCCTAGTAAATGGCTGTGCAGGGTGAGCATAATTGTAATCATTGGAGGAAAGCAGGACTGAACACGCTGTGCTCTCATGCATAGTGTGATTAGGTTTTCATAGGACACAGAGGGGATGCCAGGATTAGCAGGTATTTCACACAAAGGAAGGAATACAAAGAGAACAGGATACTTTTTTTTCAAGTACATAGCATAGCAGGCACATATCAGGAATATGAAATGTTGGGTTTATATATTCTTTAAATAAAAATATTATATAGAGATACCTAACGTTTTCTATTGACAATTGCCTGGAACAAGACATGTGGTTGATGGAGTTGAAGCTTCCCAGCTAGCAGCTACATGTCTGTTCAATGGCTCACTAGGTAGTTAAGCCAGAGTATTAGCACAACAGCAAGGTTAATCCTCGCATGAAAGGTTCACTTTTAAGTCTTTTGCTCTATTTTGTTGTAAAGGGTTGCATTTTTCCTTAGGTATATGTACAGGGCTGTATTTAGACATCATGTTGCCCCTGATGATGCCCTTCTGTGCAAGCATTGCCCCTGCATCATGTGATTACTTTACTAAATGTTTATGTTAGGCTGCAGTGTCAAAGGCAGCACTTGGTCGGCTTTGTAGAAAGAAACATTTTGCAGCTTTATAGACCACTAGACAAAAGAAGGGAGAGATAGTTTCATATTTCCTGAACCATGAAGAGTCTCCTGACTCCTCTCAGCATTCCGTGCACTCTCTTTAGTTTTCTTGTTGAATTTAGCCACAGACATCCAGATTTGGCCAACAAAGGAACACAATACAAGAAAAAAATGTTGAGGCTTGGTGATGCCCTCTGAAATCTTGTGTCCCTAGGTACTGACCTTTGAATTCCATTATAATAAATTAAAGCCCTGTATGTGTAGACACTATGGGATCTATGTATAAAACGTTCAGTGAACGAATGAGACACACATCTGCACAGCTCCAACAAAACCTGCCACATTCTGTTTTATAATGATTATCTTATAAAAATGCCATCTAGTGGGCAAAATTGCTTTTTTCCTAATTCAGGTATTTAAAAACAAATACCACATTTTGGCCACTAGATGGAGCTTAAGATCATATGCAATTTTTATTTTACACAGAGCATGGCAAATTACATTAGAGCCGTGTGGATTTGGTCAGCAATCCTTTATACATAGAGATCTATGTCTAGGGGATATAAAAGTTTTAGTGCTCATGAAAGAAGGAGAAATTTCATTCCAAATTCTTTAGATGACCTTTGATTTCACCACTCACCCACCAAAAAGGAGCTCATCGAGACCCTTCCACCATTTAACAAGGGACTTAATGTGGTTGTAAAGGCTGAAGATTTTTTTTTTATTTTCATACATTCTATGCATGAAGGTAAAAAACCCTCTGTGTGCTGCTCCCCTCCAACACTTACCCAAGCCCCATCTCCATCCAGCACTCTCCATCCAGCACTGTGCACAGGAGCCTTTCACTCCTCATTGACTAAGACACAGCAGCTGGAGCAAGTGGTTCCCACTACTGTTAATCACAGCCGATGAGGAGCAAATGGGGGAGGCTCGGGAGAGAGCAAGTGGCTTGCTCTGGGGGCACTCAGCGGGGGGGAACCCTACCTTATTCTTATCTGAGCCTGATCTGATCCAGTGCTGTGTCTCTCCTCCCTGGACATATTGATAGTAGCAGGAGCCATTGGCTCCCACTGCTGTCAATCAAATGCTGTAACTAGGGAGCAGTGGGTTGGGCCCAGCCACCCACACTCTGTGTCAATGGATGTAGACAGGGCAGCTTGGGAGCGAGCTTGAATGGGTGCCCCCATGGAAAGTGGCTTTCCATGAGTGTACCCGCCGAGGAGGAGGGGCCAAGAGTACCTATGGGGGACCTGAGAAGAGGAGGATCGCAGCTGCTCTGTGCAAAACCAAAAAGTATGACATGTCTTTTATTAAAAAAACCCTTTAATATTAATGCTGTCTGACTGCTTGGATCACAAGACTGGCTGAACAGAATTACAAAGGTTTTGTCAGGCAAGATAGCCTAGACATACACAATGTGTTTAGTTATTCTTTGAAAAGTCAAAAATATTTCAGATTTGGCACATTCCAAAGATTTAAAGTGTTACTAAACCCAGGACCCTGCATTCTCTTTATCTGGTCTCCCACAGTACACAGAACATGGAAATGCAATTATTTTAGTAAATATAAACTGCTAAATACCTTTTTTCATCAGCAGTTAGAGCAATCTTGTGACTTCTATCCGTGTCCAGCAAAGCACTGGTTAAATATTGTAGGAGTTTTCTCTAGGAGGGTGTAGAACTTCTGACCACTGGACAGTGCTGACTGGCCCTGTGCTGATCACATGCGCTTTCCCAAGAAAAAAAAAAACCTCTCTAGCAATACACACCAAATTGAGCATGTGCAGAGTGACTCCACACGATATGTCTTATCAGAATATAAGAGGGGGGCACTGGAAGAAGAGGAGGATCAGAGAAGTCAGAATAAAACAGCCTTTTTACACAATGAAGAGGATTAACCCCTTAGGTTCTACAGTGAGTATAACAAGTATGCTTTACTGCATATACAGAATGATTTTACTGTTGTGGGTTTAGTAACACTTTAGGAATGCAACATTATCAAATTACTATAATAAGTACAGTAATAATCTAGTAAATGAATAAATACTATTATACAGTTTTAAAACAAGTGAATAATTTAAGTTAGTTAAAAAAAAACACCTCTTAGGAGTCTAGTGGCAGTTCTAACGAGACAGTACTTCATCACAGGGCCACTGTGTTTTCGTCCTTGTTAATGTATACAGTATAAGAAACTGTCTGTTGTCCAAGCCTTCTGTTCTGGATCACTG